GGGGGGGGGGGGGGGGAGGAGTTCTCCCCGGTTCACAAGTCACAAAACCGGCCTACGAAGCAGGAGCCTCTCGACAAAATTCGGCTCCCTCAACGTGTATAAACGAGAATACAAGGTAGGTATAAAAGATTACGTCGTAGAATTAAAAACAAAGACCTGGGGGGGGGGGGACCCCTCTTGCCCACTGGCCGCCCTCCCAAGCATCTTTGGATGTTGAAGGGGGTGGGGGAAAAAAAACCCCATCCCATCGGTTCCTTCCTTGCCCAAATACGTCTCGGAGGGTCTCCAAAATCCAAGTAACGTCCGTCGTGGGCTGGCAGAGAGGGAGGGTCTTCCTGGGCAGCCCCAGAGATTTGGAGGGGAGATTCAGCCTCTCAGCCTGCCAGTGTTCGTGACTGCCCCCCCCTCCACAGGAAGACTTGGGGGCTCTTTGCAAAGGGTCAGGGGCCGCGAAGAAGAGGCCTCCCTCGCCACGCTGCTACACAGAATAAAGTCACATCCAGGGCAGGCCGTCTCCCTCGCTTACTCCGAAAAGGGCGGAAACATGTTCAGTTCAGGAAATTCTTCACTGCTGTAGTTGGTTCCTTGTTCCCCCAGCATAGACAGCATATCCTAGAAAGCCAAAAAAAAAAAAGGGGGGGGGGACACCATAATAAGCATAATCCGGAATAAAATAAGACCTGCGATTAAACTGGGGTAACCGGTGAAGGGTCCAAGAGATGAGGAGACCAGGACCTGCGGTTTTCTAATCTGCTCGATTTACGACCACAACTGGGGCCGGAATGTTGGTTGCTAAGTGGTGCAGTCTTTAAAGCAAGTCATCAGACCCAATTTTACGGTGGTTGTTAAGCAAAACAGGGGTCCCCAAACTTGGCCACTTGAAGACTTGTGGACTTCCAACTCCCAGAATTCTCCAGCCAGCTCTGCTGCAAGACACTGCAGCCTTCATAAATGTGACCTTGAATTGTGATGTGGGTGTGGGTGTGTCCCCATTGTAACCATTGTCACTTCTTCTGAGGCCATCTTGATTTCGAGCCGTTGCTAAAAACCGATGGTCGTAAGTCAAGGACTTCTGGCACGATCCTTCCACTCCCCCCTTGGCTGCTCCTAATGGCCGGCCAGGGTGACTCACCGGGAAGACCTCCGGCTGGGCAGACTGCTGCTGGACGTGGGACTCGCCTGAGCTCTGCCACTGCGGCCATACGCCGACTCCTTCGGCCGTCCGTGCCTGGAACGGGGCCGGATTCTGCCCGCTCTCTCCAGCAGCTGAGGAAGCATAGCGGTCAGGGAGAAGGACGGGCCTCGGGAGGCAAGGAAGTGCCGCCCGGGGAACGTTTAGAGAAGAGAGCCCACCACTGCGCAATGGGCAGCGAAAGAGGCTTCAGGGGGGAGGGACCCCACCCCCCAGTTTCTCAGGCTGTAAAAGAGACGGTGTGAAATTTGGACTTTCCGGCTTGCAAGATTCTGTTCGTGTAGCCAAATTATAAAGGAGAATTAGCTCATCCGGTCCGTTTGCTGCCTGGTTTTGTCTGGAAAGGCTGACAGGCAGGGAAGGAGAGAACCCATGAGAGACAAACGGCTCTGGGTCAGAAAGGCACAGCTAAATGGCCTCTGGGGTCCTTCCCAGCTCCCCAAAGCAGCTCATTTAAGAACGATTTGACTGCGAAGGCGTCACCGTTTACAAGGAGGCCAAGCCTGCTGGGGGGCTCCAAGGGCGGCGCAGAGACTTACCGAAAGGGGCGTTTCGACCGGCCAGGTTTGGGTAGGGAGCCCCGGCTGGTGAGGCCGCGGAACCGGGATTTGGCATGGGGCTGAAGGAGGACGGCATGGCCTGGAAGCTGCCCATGGCAAAAGAGGGAGGCCGAGTCTTCACCGGCTGGGAAGCCGCTGGCTGGAGGAGAAGGCAAAGAGCAGAAAGGAAGCGGTGAAAGCCCCGCAAAGGGGCGATGCTGGGAGGGACCCCACCCTCCGGAGAAAGCCCCCAGGGAAGCTTTGGGGCTCCCCACCCACCCCCGACGAGGGAGGCCACCGGTCAGCAGGTGAAGAGGCAGGCCTTGGCATTCTCTGCCTTGACCCCCGGCCGGTTTGGGGGGGAAGGGGGTGTAGAGGAAGCAAGAATGGCCAAAGGAAGGCAAGATTACTTGGGCTGCGAAAGGTGGGCGCGATCCCGTAGCCCAGGCGCTTCCGGAGATCTGACTGGGGCTGGGGTGGCGGGAGAGATGGGCCAGGATGGGCCCAGCTGAGGAGGCCGAATGGGCCCGGCCAGGCGGCAGGACGGAGGGCGCCAGGCTGCTGTTGCTGTTGCTGCTGCTGCTGCTGTGGGAAGAGCAGAGCGGAAGGAAGACCCTGCGTGGGGGATCCGAACGCCACAACCGCTGAGGGGGAAACCCCCTTCTTCACACCCACCCCCAAATTCTCAGCCCCTCGGGGGAATGGAGGGGTGCAGCGGCGGCTTTGTCGAAGGAAGGAGCCTTACCGGAAGCTCTCAGCCGGGCGGGAAGCCCCGAAGCTGTTCCCTGGGGCGAAGAGGGGGTGGCTGGCGGGCACCGAGTTGCCCGAAATGGGCTTCCTCGGGTCTGCAAGAGAGACCCCCAAGGGGGACGTTGGAGACAGGCGCGTTTGGGAAACCTCCCCGCGGAAGGGAGACCGTGGGGAAGGGGCCTTTCCCCTCCGCCCCACACCTGGGCTGATGCCGCTGTAGATCTCGCTGAAGCGGGGGTCCCGCTCCTGGCCAAAGAGGCCCTCGGCCTTCTCCGCGGGCTTGCTGTGCTCGGCACCAGCGGTGCTCACGGCCTGAAGGGCAGCCTGGAGAGAAAGAGACGGGAGGGTGAGGCTTACCCACCGTCCGCGCTTCCTGCCCACCCCAGCGCCGACCCCCCCAACCCCCCCTTACCTGGGGGTGCTCGTAGCTGGCTAAGCTCTCTCTCCCGGGAACCACGTCCAGCTCCGCTGGCTGGGCTGGCTGCGCTCTAAAAGGCGGAGACTCCGATCAGGGAACAGCCCGGGGGGGGGGGGGGGGGGGAGAAGCCAGACCAGGGACACCCCCCGCCCTCCAAGCAGGCCCACGGCCCTTACCTGGCGGCCAGGTGCCCTGGGCCCATCTCCAAAGGCAGGCTGACATTGGGGCCTAGCTGGGGTCTCTGCATCGAGTTCGAGCTGGCAGGACGGGTGTCCTGGCTGGCATTTCTGCAGGGAAGGGGAAGGAAAACCATGAGGCAGGTGGGCAAGCGGGCAGCCCCTT